TTCCCGAAAACATTACTCACTTGCCTTCACTTGAAGCTTCTCTTATTTTCTTCACAGCACATGGGTCCCACTTTACTGGATCTTTCTTCTCTTTCTAATCTCCAAAGGCTGAATTGCTCTATCTTCCATCCTTGCTTATGTTTCGGCTCTCACCCATGATGATTCATGGCAGTCCACAGCATTAAACACCTCCTCTATCCAAAAGCATCTCAAATTTACTTTTCCAAACCCTTCTTTCTGAGCCCTAGGCTCACTTGTCCTACTTACATCTCAAGCTCTCCAATCAGAAACAGGCATGTGAAACTGAACACACGCAAAAGGGAATTCCTTTCCCAACCTCACTCTTCCTGTCCAAGTAAAGAGCACTATTTGCTAAATGACTCAACCAAAGGCCTGGAAGTCCACCCCTACCTCTGTTCCTTTTCTCATATCCCACTGCAAATCATATTGCCATAGTTCCTTATCAGGCCTTACTATTTTTACACCTGACCCATATTCTTTACACTATACCATGATTTTTTGTAAAAGATTAAACAGAACCTGTCACATTCCTCCTCTAAGTTCCAGTTCCACTGGCTTCCCATCATTAAAAACCCAAACCAAAACATTTATACGCTGGCTTTCCAGGCTCTACCTACTCAGGCCCTGCCTACTCCTGGGCGTTCATTTCTACCACTTTCCTATTAGCTTACTCACCCCAAGTCCCACAAGCTACCTTGCTATTCCCCCTCACACAGGCCACACTCATTTGAGCCTCAGGGCTTTGAACCTGCAGTTCTCTTTTTCTAGAACAGTCCTTCCCAAGTAGTATTAACATAGCTGATGTCTCAGAGAAGCCTTCCTTGATTAAACATAAAGTTGCATTCTTCTTCAATTAAGTTTTCAACTAAGTTTCTACTTAGGGTTAATCACGGCCTAGTTTTCTTCATAGCACTTTTAAGCCATCTGACAAATATTTTTTCCTATTCAATGTAAGGTCCAGGACAGCAAGTACATGCTTACCTTGCAACCGTAGTTCCTAGAATTGTGCTTGGTGCACAGTGAATATACATTATAAACTCAAAGCAAGGAGAATTCTAAATATGCCTAACTCTTGCATTGTTCAAGCAATAATGAAATGAAGAACTTTTTATGTGATTTGCTAATGACACTCTGGTTTTCTGCTAGCAAGTATCTGTAAAAACCAATGAAAATCTAGGAAAAGTGGCACAGACTTCTCCAAACTGGAGTGCAATTCCTGGGCTGATATTATGAAGCCAATAATCCTTTTAGGGTCTTGTTTATAGATGCCATGTTGTCAAGGCCAAGGCTCCCCAAGGGCACCTGGAGAAGCGTTCATTTAGTCCATATAGTCCTTTGTTCTGTGAGTTAATTCCCCAATAAAAAAACAAGATGTGGAGCCATTCATCATCAAAAGAGCAGCGTCAGAGCTCAATAGCTCCTTGTCTTTATTCCTTCAGCAAAAGCAGCTACTAAACAGCTACAGTGTTCTTTAGTTTACAGCAGTTAGAGTTTCTGTGATCAGCTTACTGGGACATGGTGAGAAAAAACACCTGCTGCATGACCTTGACCATGTTGCACATACATGCTTGAGTATGTTGAGTCACTCTTATATAACTGTGGCCCATTATTAGCATGCCCCTGAGAGTGGTGTTGTGACCTTAAGTGTCCTCAGGTGCACTTGTGTTTCCCAGGCCTTGAGTAAAATCAGAAGTGGCACCCCACACAAGTCCCAGCTTACATGGTAAGGACACTTCTACATGCAGAGCTCTGCACTCACAACATCACTTTGGGGCTAAGTGCTACCTGTCCTTTTGGTATCAAGTGTAAAAATATCTTCCTCAGGAGACCCCTTCTCACATCTTTACTCTCCTAGCACTATTCTGAGTTATTTTCATTTACTGTACTTTCTAGGATATTATTCCATGTTTGTTCCTATTTTATATTACATTCAAGACCTCACTGAGATATGGGCATGCTCTCGTTTAACTAACAACTCTCCCTTCCTTTAAGCCAATACTATTTACCTACTTGGATGGGCTCAAGTTTAAGCCTCATCAAAGAATTTGCATATCTTCCTGTTGATTTCTTATGGAATCCTAGCCCACCACATCCCCAAACCCTCATCATTTTCTCTTTATCAGGGTTAAAGTATTTCTTCCACCCATATACAGCATCCTATATGAAAACACTTTTATGAGAAACAACTTTCTTTTTTAAAAATTATAAACTCCTTCCACTGGGCATATCTCTGGCAGTCTGTTTTAATTCAACTCTAGGCAAAATGAACAGTTTCTATAACTTATTTGTTTAATGTTGATGTTTCCTATTAGACTTTAAAGACTATAAGATTAAAACACCAAGTGTTTTGTTTAACACTGTATCCTTGGCATCAACAATGCTCGATAGTGATAGACAATAAACACTTGCATGAACAAATGACTCAAATTACGTGCTATGTTAGCTTAGATATAGATGTATACATCCATATTCTTTTGTGTAATATGACATATGATGGTTAATATTTTTCTATTAGACATCAGATACATTATACAAACTTTAACGGTAATTAGCCAGTACAGTTATCTAATTCATATGATTTAAAATTTGGTATTTTTTTTTTTGGTATCTTTATCAATACTTTTGAAAATCCAACTCCTATATGGTCTTTTCTTTCCTTCACCCATACCAGATATACAGGTCCTAAGCAGGAAGGGAAACAGGCTCCCTTTATCACTCAGTCATTTTTTTGCTGGTGCAATGTCCAGTTGCATATATGCAAAATAAGACTTGAGGAATTACTGAAATGCCCTTTCCTTTATTCATTCTATGCTGTGGGCAAGCCTCCTCCACTGGACACTTTTAGTATCATCTAATTGATCAGTTAAAGATAAAAAACTTACAAAATGCTATAGCAGTATTTGTAGAATATGATGATTATAAAAAATTAATATGAACTAACAAAAGTAGTAAAATGTGATCTTTCCAGACAATTTCTCACACTAATCTCTCATCATTTGTAATATTATTTTAACAACTTTGAGAACCATCATCACACCAACATTTTGGGATTGCTTTTTTTTTTAATATTCAGCAAAATTTCTTTCTTCCAACTTTGTTTTTACAAGAAAAAATTTGAACATTAATGCTTCAGTATTTTTGGAGAAAGAGAATAATAAATTACTACAAACATTTATTGATACTTGATCACTGTTAGACCTTTACAGTAGACATCCAGTAGAAAAGGCAAGCTTGTAAAAACATTACAGTATGTCCTCATTGACTTTATTCACTACATCTGGTACCATGCAACTTCTGGCTCTTCTCCAAAGTCAAAATGAAGCACAACTAAAGATAATCACTAAAGAGGACTTCCAGAACTGCTTCAGAAAGTGGCAAGAATAATGGGAAAAGTATGTGTGAAGTGAGAGAGAGTATTTGGAGGGGAATTAATGGCAATGTGTCTTGTACTGTAATAATTTTCCAAAATATGTATTTAAACATTCACGTATTTTTCAATAATACCTCACATTTAATATATGTTATTTATTTAAACCTCCAGTTAGTTTATTACTGTTTAAATAGGTTAATTTGACCAGAAATATAGCTACATCAAAGAAGATTTGGCTGGAGTAAAATCAATGAAAAAAGCTTCCTAGTTCATACTTTTTCTCTACCCGTTCATTATAGGGTGGTAGGACTACTCCCTTGCCCATAATACCAAGAAAGACACAGGCTACCAGTGAAGTTGAAAAGATCTTGAATTTGCAAACTAAAATTCTCCTATGCTCTGAATCATGAAATTTTAATTTTGTTAAACTGGGAAGGGGCAATTTATTTCAGAACTGTGAAGAAACTCAATGTAGGTAAAACAATAATTTGTCAATGGTGAATATACAATTTTGTAGTATACGTTTGCAAAAATTTTTCTAAGTTTGCCATATTCTTCTCTATTGAATTACACCTTATACAAGAACCAAAATAATGTTTACTAGCATTTTATGAAAAGACGGTGTTTCAATATTTACCAATCACACTTTAACTATAGGTTTCAGTAGTGACACAGTTTCAAAGCAAAAAGTAATATGTCTTAAAGTAGCATCATATTTAGGCCTTAAAGACAAAGGAAATATAGATGTATTCAGTTTAAAATGGAGCAGGTCAGTGACTATGAGATTTTACATTTCTATGGAAAGGCGGCTTCTTTTTTAGATTTGTGTACAGAAAAAACATTTAACAGGATGATGCTATCACAATTCATTGTAACAAAAATGACAAATATAAGAACTTAGAAGTAGAAAATAACTTTAGGATAACCTGCATAACCATGAAATTAGGTGAAATAACTAGATATTATTACACACATTCATGTGGCAAAGTACCTTCTAAACCCTACACAGGAAAATTAAAATTGCATTTTGAAATATTTCCCCTAAATTATCCTGTTATTTGAAATAACTTAGACTCTTAAGATTATAAGAATATAAATATCTTTTATAGCCAAATACTTGAATTCAAATTATTTTAAGGGTAATCTCAATGTGAATGATTAGATTCTAGGGATTAAAACTTCAAGGCATTTATATTACTTCAAGGTATTTTAATATCTAAAGAAGTTTCAGTCTGAACAAAAGAAAAAACATTATGATTTCCTTTTTAAAAACTTTATAATGCATAATTTTCTATGAGGGATTTATGTATTTGTACTTCCTAAGTAATTCTACTAACCAGTTTGGCCTTTCCATCTGAACATTTACATAAGGTAACATTATTTTAGCATTTTAAGTACCGAATGCAGACATTAAATGATTTGATTTTAAAAATACAACTGAAGAAAAACCTACATAAATAGCTCCTGCTACACTGTGCTCTACTCAATGAGCACCTCTCTGCACAGAGCTTTTCGGATGCAGTTTTTACATACAATTAAGGTTCCATTCATTGAAAAAATTAATAGTTATCAGTACTGCTGAAATAAATCAAGGCTTTGTGTCTCTTACCTTTGCCATGGCTTCTCCCATCCTCCAAAAGCGGCACAACAATAGTGTTGTTCACATTTCCAGGTGAACGTACAGCTGTGTAGACAACAGGCACCGATTGTACCACCACGGGGATTCGGTGAACGTGACTCAGCTTGTTAGACTGTAAATTCATGGGGCTCGAAGGCGGTACAGGATGGATAATGTGCAAAAACTGCTGGCCCCCCACACCAGATGCAGAGGCAACAAGGGGTCCTGGAGTTAATACTGTTGACGAGGGTGATGCTGAAGACACTGATGTTATAACAGTTGGGGATGAGGCTGGGCGACTGGAAGATGATGAAGAGGTCGAAGTGGAAGAAGGTGAGGAGGCAGAGGCTGTCATGGAAACTGGGGAGGATGAAACAGCAGTAGGGGATGTCCTGGCTTTGTTGATTGACAAGTCCACAGGCTCAGTCTGTGTTTGGAAGTGATCTACCGATAATGAGTCCTCCGCAGGCTCCCCTTTCACGTTATTTAGCAACAGGGGAACGGCTTCCATATCGGGATAGTTATGGACGTTTGGAGACTGTGGGGAGAAAAATGGAACACATATTTATGTGTTAATCACACATTTTAATAGATGCATGACTTATTACTTGATATTAATTTCCCTTTCTGTAAGATGCCAATTATATTCCCAAATATTGGAAGCAGTGCTCTATGACAGTAAGAGTGATTAAAAGTGGAGGTACAAAAGTACCAGAGTAAGACAAGACATCTACCAAAGAGACATTTCATTCCAGTGAGAAAGATAATTGTTAAAATGGTCTAAATCAGTTCTTCATGGAAGTGGCTATAGGAATCTTAATAGGAACAGTAAATTTACATATAATTGTTGAGAAGACAAGTCTGGAATACAAAAGATTACTTAGAATTGTATAAATACAATATTTAATTAAAAACATTCATTTTCTTGGTTTGATTCACTACTACATTTAAGAGTCTCACTTTCTTGTTAAAAGACTATTGAGTTTTCATTAGATAATTATCTTTTCTAGCTCTAAAATTCTATAATTTACGGATCGTGCCCATACCCAACAGTAATCTAATCTGAATGCTTACTACTAACTGGCAACAATAGCTGGAAAACTAACTACAACACTACTTTCATATTTGGTACATGAGCTAATATATTATGTTCATCTTGGGCATTAAAAAAGATAAAATTTTACAACTTCCCAAGCTCAATCACTAAATTACTAAATATGAATTATTTATAATGACTGGATTATAACTTTTAGTGTAGAATAAATTTTTTCATAAAATAACGTACAGAACTACTACACTAATATTTTAGGAAAATTTTATATTATAAATTTTAAATTGTCTATAATTTTTTGTTTAATTTAAAATAATGATAAATTTGTCCAAGGTTCAATTGAATTCTTATAATTTCTACTGAGCAAAATTTAATAATAAAAGAGTTTAACATTTGACCCAGACTAATGTTATCCACATGCTTTTACTGGGCATGAAAATGTATATCTATTTATATACATATTACCTTATAAATTCAACAAGCATTTATTGAATTCCTACTTCTGAGGCACAATATGGCCCAAGAGTTGCACTGATATATGTCAATCTGACCTTGACAGAGCAAGCTAGACTATCTTCGTTACATTTACTTTAAGTAGGCTAACATAGACACTATTGTTCTATTAGATAGAGACCAAAATCTTTTCCTCAGCTTTATTATGGTAGCAGAACAACACTGTCAAAAATTATGTTAAGTTTGTCATTTCACTCTGGTTTACTGTTCACCCTAAAAATGTGAGCACATATTTAAAGGAACAAAACATTCCTTAAAGCCTTTCTTTATAGAATATAAATTATAGCTCCATTCAAAATATAAAATAGGCAATAGTGCAAGGGGATTTTGTTCAGCAACAATGAGAAAAGAAAAAAATACATCAACAATGGTACCAGATCAACTAAAAAAGGAACTGGGTTGGTGTTTTAATGTTTCCTCCCTTCTTAACTAACATAATTACTTATTTACAAAAACATACAAAAGTTTACATACCATCAAAATCTGTATGAAATTCTAAATGGCAAGATTTTCATTTCATGTGCTGAAATTGAGAAACTTTTAAAATCTCAAAAACATTAAGAAACAAAAGAAAAACACTATAAATCAAACTATTTTATAAAAGCTGTTAGCATCATCTACTTTTCCAACTAGAATATTTCAGCTCTCAGATTATCATTTAATTTCTTTGCAGAACAATGTAAGGTGCTCCTTATTGATATGTTTACCCATATAGAAAATCGCTGTCAGATATTTCTGAAAGTCTTATTTTGGAAATAGTGATTATTTCCACTGCAAATTTGTTTTTTCTTAACTCAGACACATTTGTGAGTTAAGTCAAGGGCTGAGCACTGTACATCGCTATAGAGACAGCTCCTAAGCCAAATGAAGGACTACTGTGGCTAATGATGACAAGACTGGACTGAGAAATATGGAGATTATCTGTAAAGAGACTGAGTCTCTATTAAGCTTCACTGAGCTTTGAAGCTGCTCAGATTCTTTGAAGGACAAACAGGAGTCCATCTTCTGTAGGTCTCTATTTATTCCTTCACTGAGAAAAATCTCTCTTCCTTAAGTTCTTTTACAGCCACAGAAGAAGAATATTTCTCTCCTGAATCTGCTGCACATGCTAGAAATCTGCAAAGATCAAATAGTAAGACCCTCAGATGCTTTCAGAAGCTTGAGAATTATATAGCTTTCTCATATTCTCAAACTAAAATAATCATAAAAATAAGCAAGGATAAAATAAACCTTTGGATCAAAGACTTGGGACCTTGGAGAAATTATTCATGAATATATAAATGCAAACATCAGACAGACATATGGTGTTTTCTTTTTTTTTTTAATATGTGGCATTTGAAATACTGCCAGCATATTAAAAAATAATACTTCATCAGTAGAAAGAGGACAAAATTCTTATTGCACCATTCATCTGTTTTCAGTGTTGATGAAGCATCCCATACTGACAGCCCCTACTAACCTCCTATGATGTGATGACAATGTGTCAGGTAAAGCCATCCATTATTCTAGATCTGGGCTGCACACACATACTTGTAAAGCCAGCAGCAATATAAAAACATGGCCTCTTTCACAGGAAAGGCTCATGCTCAACCCCAGAATCACCATTAGGAATTCATGTCTTTACTTTTAGGAAGTAGAAACTGAAATGCATTGGCTCTGAGGTTTGGGTCCCTAAATAGAAAGCTATGGTAGATGCTGAAAGCAGAGCAGACAGCAAAAGGGGAGTGAAAGCCATGGAGAAACAGAGGGAAAACATAAAATGCAAAGCACTTAACCAGCTAGAGGCCAAAAGGAAGGACAGTAAGTCCATACTTGAGAAATTGAGAGGGGGCAGGGGTGTGGCCCTTACGGGGTAAAAGTACTGAAAACACAAAGAGTTTACAAATTTTAAGCATGATGAAAAAGATATGTTTCTTCCAAAAGGAGGACTTCATACTAAAATTTTACCATTGATTATTAACTTGTCAATTCTGGATGCAATAATAATGGGCTACTTGTGGCAGTGTCAACTGTTTGTTTTTAAATAAAATCTATCCATATTTTTGCCTAGGAGTGCTGACATCAGCTGAATTTTTGCTGTTGATGTCCCTGATATGAAAAGATCAAACTTATTATGTTTCCTTGATATGTACTATCAAGCAAATACAACATTCCTTCTAAAGGCATGAAGGTTGTATGGAAATACTGGATTTTTGTCAAAGAGAAGACTGATTTCATTTTCCAAAAGATTAAATAACATCCATTGAAAGGGTCTAGTAAAGCTTACATTTTTTTCACAAAATATTTTAAGAAATAATAGCATGAACAGTAAAGTCTGGAAAGATAAATACAACAGTATACCTATAAAAACAATGTGTGAAAACCTAAAGATAAATATAAGCATATTATTTTCTTCACAAATCCAAGTTAGTTTCATTCACAATTCACTTAAAAAAATATTGCACATAATCTTCTAGTGAACATATTCCTATAATAAGGACCATATTTGAACTTTTCTAATCAGAGTTTTTTCCTGAATAAACATTTTAATCTAACTTCATCTTTAAGCATTTTGCTGAATGAAGGAATCTAAAACCTCCCACTTGTTTGTTCCCAGAGTACTGGGTGTACTTCCTACAGTCAGCCCTTACACCAGGTGAATCTTATCATGGTCTTTCAGTGAATTCCAAGTACTTTTAATGCTGGTCATGGATTTTAATCACATGAAGCCTTAAAAGAAAAAAACAATGTTTAGACATTACCCTATCTTTGGAAAGGTCCCCATACAGTCCCTTGAGTCATCAGGATTAAAGACCATTTGCATAATACACTGCTAAATGTTATCCAAGATTTATATGCAGTCTGTTTTGCCTTCAACAGCACCAAGGATTTTTAAAGATGTGGGCTTTATACACACAGATGATGATGACAACTGTCCATTCATCATTTAAATAAATTATGGTTTAGTTTGCTTCTACACATTTTTGGGGAAATAATTGCACAGCAGTTCTTAAAAAGGATTATAAAATGACTTGCCTAATATTTATAATTTGTGGCTTAATGATGACAAGAATCCTTACTTTGTGGCCTGTTGTGTGATATTATATTATAGAAAATAAGAACTGTATATAAAAGACTAAAACTATGACCTACTCCTGCTGCATATGAGCAGTGCCATTTCGGTACCATCACTAAAATTCTCTAGTTCCCAGCTTTTCTCAATTGATAAAAAAGTAACATTAATTCCAAACACAGAAAATCCTTGTGAATTTGAACTGAAGAATCAGGTGTTTTTAATAGCCAGAAATGTGACAGCCAAGCAAATGAGCACAATTCTATTGTCTTAGAAATGGAAATTCCAAACACAAGGCAGTCTGTTACTAACACTACCTCAGAGGTGACTTGACTAGCTAACTTCTAACTTGGGGTCATATAAACAGAGCAATAGGGTTTGCTAAACAACCAAATAGACAGGTTGTATAAAAGCAGTTGAACAAGCTGCCTTTAGGGACCAGTCATGTTTTTAACAATTCTCTTGAAATATAGAAGGCAGTGATATCATGATGCTTGTTGGTTCTATACATTTTTATATATTTTATTACATTTTTATATTTTTATAATCAGGTTGAGCCACAGGAGGATCATGTAAGAGCTGATGGAACACATTTTAATGGACTGATCTGGTTTTTAAATTTCACATTATAAAACCAATATCAGTCCATCATTTAGCATATTCTGAAAGTAATGCATAAATATACTGAAATGTCTAGCAGATATTGGTCCTTCTTAACATCTTACCATGAATGAAACAGCAGAGCTTATTTACTTCTTATGGCTTCTAAAGTTCAAGTCTGACTTAATGATTAATTGAACATTAATTATCTTTTATGGGCTAGTTTTAAAAAGCTTACTGTGCACTTCATATAAAAAAAAGGAATCAAGGTGAACCCACACACCTGTAGTTCTTGTTCTTTTGGGTTATATTGCTTTATTTT